ACAGGGCGGGGGGCGCGGGCAGCGGCGGGGGCGCGGCCAGCACGGCCCGGCCCCCGGCGGCTCCCAGATCCCCCCAGAGGAAGGCACGGGGATGCTCAGGGGGATGGAGCGCCTCTGCTCTGGACACCGCTGGGGGTGTCCAGCCTGCGGAAGAGAAGGTCCAGGGAGAGCTCAGAGCCCCTTCCAGCTCCTAAAGGGGCTGCAGGAGAACTGGAGACGGACTTGGGACAAGGGATGGGTTGGAGAGACAAGAGGGAACGGCTTCCACTGCCAGAGAAGAGGGTTAAATGGGATATGGGGATGAAATTCTTCCCTGTGTGGGAGGTGAGGCTCTGGCACAGCCTGCCCAGAGGAGCTGTGGCTGCCCCGTCCCTGGAATTATCCAAGGCCAAGCTGGGTGGGGCTTGGAGCAACCTGGAATAGTGGGAGGTGTGTCAGGGATTTGGAGCTTGATGGCCTTGAGGATCCCTTCCAACCCGAACCATTCAGAGGTTCTGCAGAAGTCAGGGTGCCTGCAGGGTGCAGGTGTGGAGGGAAACGCTCACCTGGCTGTGAAACATCCCTTCCCACAGCACTGCAGGCCTGGACTCTGCCCTGAGCTCTGCTCCGGGCGTGGGGGGAGCCAGGGGCAGACTGGGAGCTCAGAAAACACACACAGATGAATTGCAAACACGGCACAGAGGCCCTGCTGCCTCCTGAGAGCTGGGAAAGGGCTGCCAGGCTGCCAGGCCAGGTGCCCAGCTCACAGGGCTGCAGTCACGTCACTCAGCCCGTCTCAGGTCAGGGTGAGCAGCAGGGCCACTCTTCCAGCCTGGCCTGGCTCAGTTTCAGGCACACCCAGGACCTGGTGCCTGCATTGCCTGCCCTGAATCCAGCAGCATCTGGCAGCTGCAGAAAACCAGACCTGGAGTGGCCCAGGGCAGGTCAGGGAGCAGGGCACGCTTCAGCCAGCCAGGGAAAAACGCTGTGTGGCAGAAGGGCTGGCCAAACAGCCCTGTGCAAAGCTCTGAAAGGCCTGTCACAGAGCATTGTGGCAGGCCCCAGGTGTTCCCATCACACAGCCAGGCGTGTTGGGAGGAGCAAGATGGGCAGGGAGATCCTTGTTCAGGGTGCCAGGAGGGAACAGGGTGCTGGGGGCACTGCCAGGCAGCTGAGAGCCACGGGCACCACCTCGTCCCAGGCCAGACTGGCACATCTCTGTCTGCCTGCTGCTGCCCTGGAGAGCCATTTCTTCTTGGAAAAACATCTCAGCAATGCTGTCAGCACCAAGCTGGCTCATCCCCTGCTAACTCCAACGCAGCTGAGATAGAAATCAGGCAGTGACGGCACAGCCATCTCCCCGCTTCCAGTAAAACATAAAAAGAAAATAGACCAGCACTGGCATTTCAAGGCAATTATTCAAAGGGTCAAGAGATACAGACCAACACTGAGGAGCTGGAAAGCATCAAGTCCCTCTAATGCATAGGGATAACAGGATAAGGCTGTCAGTTACCCTGCAGAGAGGGAGGCAGGGATCAAGCCATTATAATCAAGTTTTGTGCTTCTCTGACCTTATCTGCCTCTGGGCTGTCATTATCCACAGCACACAGTAAAACATGCAGGTGTGACCATGCCTGGGGGCTGCAGCCAGCACGGTGGGGCTCTGCAGAGCCCTGAGCACAGATGCCCCGTGGTGCAGCCTCCAGGACACAGCTGGATGGTGCTGGATGTGCTCCGTGCTCTCCCTCCCTTGGTTCTTTATTTATTCCCAAGGAGCTGCCCAAAGTGAGTAGAATCAGAAAAATCAGCAGTAATTGGTTTTTTTCCTGTACAGACTCAGGTAAAATAGAGATCCCAATGTGAATGTGGGGAGAGAAGAGGAAAAGCTCCGGCAGCCGCTCATGGTGAGCATCTCCTCCTCAGAGCTGGGCTGCTGGAAAGGCTGTACCGAGCTCCAGCTTCTCTTCTGGAGAAACTGGGCCTAAAGTAATGCAGAGGCCAGGCAGGAGATGCTGATTTCTGTTAACAAGGGGGCTGGGCTGGGCTGCTCAGCTGTCTGAGAGAAAGGAGCACAGCCACTAGCTCCAGCAGGGCGTGATTTCATCCCAGCCTGGGTCCCTTACCCTGGAGCAGGCGTCTCCTCGTGTGGGCCTGGGGCAGGGACAGAGCCACCTGCTCTCCAGAACCTTCCCCTCCAATTTTAAGCTCTCTCCCTGTAAAGCCAAGCTGGGAAATTGCCTGTTCAGTGGCAACGCAGCCCCTGGTGCCGTCAGGGACACGGGAGAGCGGAGCAGTGACACGGCTGTGTGCAGCCATAAGGCTGTGTTTACCCCAATAACATAATTTTCCACCAGGCCAGCCGTTCCTGGTGCCCTGGATCCCTGCAGGAGCAGGGACTGAGCACTGGCTGCTCCCGCACTGCCCCGCCGAGCACAGCTCCAGCTGAACTCCACCCGTGCCAAGTGGTGATGTTACTGACCGTGGAAAGGAACCAATCCCCAACTAGAGGAAAAGCATTTTTGCAGGGAAACATCATCGCTGGAACCCTATAAACAAATCTGTTTTGACACAGCAGAACAAAGAGCTATAAAAGGAGAGATCGGGAAAACCGCGGCTAATGGGCGGTAATTCACGTGGTGCCTGCCAGGCTGTATTTTTGTAATTTGTGTCCCTTTGGGATGCTGGCCTACGATTTCCAGAGCTCAGAGGAGCTTGGGAACAGATGTGGGGTGATGCTCAGCACCCCTTGTCTCAAGAGATGCTCTGGAGCAGGACACTGAGCAAGCAAAGGGCTTTGCAAGAGCCACAGGTGATGCCTGTGCTGTGCCAGGAGCTCCTCGGGGCTGGGCCGGCACCCACCACAACCCTGCTCCCCCAGGAGTGGAGGCAAAGCAGTATCCAAGGTGTCTGATCCATCTGCACAGCGTTTGGGAGCAGCACAGCAGCCGTGGCCAGGCTTCACGGGAAAATAATCACTCCTAATCTGCTTAGGAAACTTCATCCCTTGGGAAAGCACAGCTTACCTGCCTGTGGGCCTGGGGACACACTGCTGGATGGCAGGTTTAGAAGAAATAAATTAAATTGATGTTAGGGGCTGAAAGCGTTTCTCTGCTGTGAGAGACTTTCAGAAGAGCAATAACCCCTGAGGAGGAGAAACCCACAGCAGAGGAGAAGGTGCCACACGTGCTGAAATTACCATTACTCCCAGGAACACAGCTCCAGCAAGATCAGCTCTTACTGGGTTCCAGTTTTTGGGTTATTCCTTCTCAAAAGATCAATTTCTCCAGTAATGAACCATCAGGACCTGCTCTGACTTATCCACAGAAACCCCCAGACCCCCTCTGGACAAACCCAGGCTGTGTCTGTGACTGAAAGCCCACTGAATTCCCACTTTAACCAGTCCAAAACAAAACAGGGAAGTCAGGGCCCCGTCTCTAACTCAAGATCAGCTGTTTCTGTTTATGGAAAATTGTGTTTCCCTGCACACCGAGGGCAGGCACTGCAGCACGTGCAGGGAGGAGCAGAGCCCCCAGTCCTGGCTGGAGCCCAGCAGGGCTGCCCAGACCCTTGTCCAGGTGATGAAGTGGGAGCAGTGCCCCGGCCCTGCACGCTCTGTTCTTCATGGGCTCCTGCACCGTGGGAGGTTTCTGGGCTGCTCTGAAAAGGGATTTGAGGTCAGGCTGACTTGGCTCTCCCCAAAAGGCACAGAGTCCCTCCCTTTGTTTCAGTTCAGGCCGGGGGCAGCCACCCAGCACTGTCCAAATCCCCAGAGGTGAAGCAAGGCCAGGAACTCCCCCAGCCCTTCCCAGCAGCGGGCAGGTGCAGCCCCAGCCCAGGGAGAGGCAGGTGCTTTCTGCACCCCCAAAATCCCAACACAAACCACAGCTGCCCACAACCCTCTCCAGGGGAAGTGGTCAGTGCTGGGAAATGTTCCCAGGACCTGAGCAATGAAAACATCCCTTTTCTCCTGCCACCAGCAGTCCCCCTGAGGGTGACAGGCAGGAAGGGCCACTCCACCACAAGCCCCACATGCCCGCTCCCCAGGGATCCTTGGCACGCTGCTGCTTCCCTTCCAACCCATCCCAAAGAGCCACCTCCACGTGGGACACTACCAAAACATTTATTAGAAGAGTGCAGGGTGGCCAGGCTCCACAGGACCCCCCCTGCAGCTGACCACAGGGCTGGGAAGGGGAGCAGGCAGGCTCTGCTCAGCCTGGGGATCTCCTTGTGTGCCCCGGCATCCACCAGGAGGAGAAGGCACTCGTTGCCTCGAGGGAAATGTCCCTGCTGGGTGCGGGCAGGGCGGACGGGCTGGCTGTGCCATCCCTGCAGGCAGGAGGCAGCGCTGGAGCACCGCAGAGCTCCCGGCAGGGAGATCCAGGGCTGCTCCCTCTGGGCACTGCCCCCGAGGGTGATTGCTCTGAGCCACACTCCAGCGTGGCCTTTGGCAGCCGCTGCTTCTGTCACAGCTCCCAGAGCCACCCCCAGGGCTCAGACCGCCCCAGGCTCTGCCAAACCCTGCCCGGAGCGGACTGAGAGCGGCTGCGGTCCTGCGAGGGAGCGCCGGCTCAGAGTTTGTTGGAAAAACAAACAACCCGGCATTTCTCTGGCAGGCAGGGACAGCCCGTAAAAGGCGCTTCCTAAATCCCTCGGCAAACACGAGAGCAGCGGCCGCCCCTCCCGGCGGGAGGAATATCCGCAGCTCGGGGCTCCCCTTGGCAGCAGAGCCGCCGGCGGAGCCCGCAGGTGTGGCAGGGTGGACAAAGCTGCCACATCCTGAGCCCTAAGGTGGCACAGCCTGGCTAAAGGAGAGAGCTCCCTCTCCACGGGCACTGCTGGCAGCCCCTCGCCCAGGAAGCACTCGCACAGCCTGTCCAGACAGGTCTATTTACAGGAGAGCCGCACACACGGGGCAGGGAGGTGTCCCCAGCCAGCACGGCCAGCTGCTGGCATGGGCTGTGTCGCTGTGTCCCCCCGGGCCTGGCTGGGTGCTGTGCCCAGCCACCACCGTGCCACCCCTGGCACCAGGCGAGGGCAGGGGCACTTTGCAGGTGCTGGGTCCAGAGTTCAGCCGCAGGTCCCCGGCTGCACGGACAGTCCAGAGAGGTGGGGATTGGCTGGTGGCACCGTGTCCTGGCAGCAGCCTGGGGCAGTGGCCCGTGCCAGCCGGAGAGGCACAGTGTCTATCCTGCCCTTAGTCGTTCTCGCTCTGCAAGGGACAGAGAGGAGAGTGGGGTGAGGTGCCAGGGGCTGGGCTGGGGGCACAGCCCCTCTCCAGGGCCGCCCTGCCCTGCCACCTCACCTCCATTTTGCTGTATATCCAGCTGAGGAGCTTTGTCACACGTGTGTACACCCCGGGCTTGTTCTTCTGGCCACATCCTGTCCCCCAGCTCGTCACCCCGGCCACATACCAGCGGCCATCGTCCTCGCACACCAGGGGCCCTCCGCTGTCACCCTGGCTCAGAGGGGCAGAGCAGTGAGGAGGGGAGGCAGGAGACGCCCCTCTGTGGGTACCCAAAGCGGGGCAGCTGTGCCCCGGTGCCCCCAGCTCACCTGGCAGGCGTCCTTGCCTCCCTGCAGGTACCCTGCGCACATCATGCGGGGGGTCAGGTAGCCCTCGTACACCTTGTCGCTGTTGCAGATCTTGTAGTCGATCAGCTTCACCTCGGCCTCCCGCAGCTTCGGGGACGTGTTATCTGCAAGGCAGGGAGAGCTGTGGGGCAGGGGGGGCCTCGCCATTCCCCACCGCCCCCGGCCCCTCACCAGCGAGGGAGGAAGCGGCTGCTTCTCACAGGTCTCGTTTCTGCAGAGCCTCGCAGCTGGCAGGGCAATCCCGAGAGTTATCCCTGCGGGAGAGCCCTGCAGGGCCCCAGCGGGGCTGTGCTCGGGGCAGGGGCTGCCTGCGGGGAGCCGCGGTCCTGCCTCACCTTCATTCTCCCGGGTTTTGCCGAAGCCGGTGATGAAGCAGGACCGGCCGGTCTGGAAGCGCTGGCCGTACATGGGCAGGCAGGCGGGGCGGACCTGGGCTGGAGGAGCCGGGATGGGAGCGAGGGGTGAGTCACCGGCACAGAAACAGCACAGGGAGGAGCGTGGGGCGCAGGAAAGGCTGCCCACCTCATCCCATCCCCTCCCTGCCCATCCCACCGGCCCCGAGTGGGGCTGGGGGCACAGCTGAGCCCACGGCTGCGGGTGCCAGACCCTTCCTGGCCATGGGACAAGCAAGGTGGCCACAGCAGAGCTGGATGTGTTTAAGAAAAGCCTGGATGTGGCACTCGGTGCCGTGGTTTAGTTGAGGTGTTAGGGCATGGGTTGGACTCTATGACCTTTAAGGTCTCTTCCAACCTGGTCATTCTGTGATTCTGTGAATTCTGTGGATGCTCCAGCCGGCAGCAGCCCCCCACACCCCATGGTTCACAGGACACACCTCTCAGTCCTGTCCATCTCCCTGCCCCCCAAACACCACGCAGCCAAGCCCAGGTGAGCTGGGTGACCTCACCTGAGAGCGTCAGTGGCCTGGAGAGCTTCATGAGGGCGATGTCGTAGTCGTCGTGGTCGTCGCTGTAGTTGGAGTTGATGATGACCTGGGACACCGGGATGCCCTCCATGGGCTGCTTCAGGTCCGACACCCCTCCGTACACCTTCCAGTCGTCCAGGATCTTCATGCTGTTCCTGGCAGGGCGAGATGGGGCAGGAGGAGTGAGAGGGGGGCCAGGGGCTGGGCTGGGTGCCCGGGCTGGCAGCAGCACTCACATGAAGAAGCAGTGGGCAGCGGTGAGCACCCACTGGGCGTCGATGATGGTGCCGCCGCAGATGTGGATGGGCCCGTACTGCACGCTGACCTGCCAGGGCCATTTGTTCACAGAGGTCTCCTTCCCACCGATGATCCGGCCAGAAATCCTCTGCCCGCAGGCTGGAGGGGACAGCAGGGCTGGGAGAAAGGCTCGGGGGGACACACAGAGCATCCCCACCACCCACAGGAGCCACACTTATTGCAGGAAATGCAGTGTTGGTCCTTTTCTACCACCCAGAACATTTGCTGAAAGTTGTCCCATCTGCCCACCCCTGTGCTGGGAAGGGGGGAAAGCGCTCCCAAGCCTGTGGAAAAGGGACCCACCCTCAGCTGTGTCCTAGCCAGTCCTTACTTGTGCATCGCAGGGAGACGTACTTCCCCGTGAGACACTGGGAGCTGCGGGAGAGAGGAGGGAGAGGCAGCCTCAGCCCTGTCCCTGAGGCACCAGGGCAGGGCAGGGCAGGTGAGCCTGGTACCTGTTGAGGCTCTGCTGGATGGTCTCTCGCTCATCAGTCACCGTGAGGCTCTTGCCAGAGACACGCAGGGGGATGAACTCGGTCTGGGACGCACTGGGAGGGGAGAGGACAGGCAGTGAGGGTCCCCCCATGTGGGCACTGCCCACCTGGTCCCTGCCCTGTGCCCAGTGGGAAAACACAGCACAGGGGGAAACAGCACGCCAGACCCCACACTCAGTCAGGGCAGGGGCTTGGCAGGGCCCAGCACCCGAGCAGAACAAGCCATCCTGCAGGAATTACTTCTGAAACCCCAGCTGCCGGCAGGTTTTCCTGGAGAGGGACTCGTCCCAGTCGCTGCTGCACACCGGCAGCCACTGGCTCTCGGTGCTGGAGTAGACGTGGAGCAAGGACTCCTCGGATGAGAAACGCACTGTGGGATGGAGCAGGAGGGTCAGGGGTGCTCCCGGGGCTCTCCCCATTGCCACCACCCCAGCTGCCGTGCCTCACCACAGCCCAACTCGTCGCTCCTCTGGGAGCAGTCGACGACGCCGTCGCAGCGCACGGCGCTGTCCTTGCAGCTCTCTGCTGGCTCCTTGTACAGGATGCCCGTCTGCGACCTCCAGAACATGACTGGAAGCAGGAGAGCACCACGCTGAGGCCAGGGCTGGCCATGGGTGAAAGGCTGTGCCCCACCTGGGTGGGCATCTGGAGGCGTGCCAGGCACAGGAGCGTTGCCCATCACTGGGTGTGAGCGTGAGGTGTGTTTGAGCGAGAGTGAGGAGCTGCTGGACACAGGGCTGGGGGAGGACTGGCCACCCTGAGCACCCCCTGTGCTGCCCAACTGCTGCAAGCCCCTCTCCCTTCACCCACAGGAAATGCATTCAGCCTGTGAATGCTTCAAGCCCACGGCTGAAGAGTGGCAGCTGTCTGTGCCCGGTGTCTGTGCCTGTTCTGCTGTGGACCATGATTTGTCTTGGGGAGGGCAACTGTGGGTGCTGCTGGGTGCCCTGCTGCCCACCAGGGTGAGCCCAGCAGAAGGAAAGCCCACCGCAGCCCCAGCCCCCCAGTTCTGGCACCAGCCCAGGCAGCAGATCTCCTTTTCTCCTTCCCCAGCTCCTGTCTCTCCACCAGATGTCAGGAACACCCAGGGAATGGCAGGAGCATATCCCTGTCTCTGGGTTGCCCTCTGGCAATTCCCAGTGTGGTATCCCCAGACCCTGCTGACTCCCAGCTCCTCTGAGGCCCCCTCCAGGAGCCCCCCCGGGCTGGGCCCCCACTCACACAGCAGGATGAGGGCCACGAGCAGCACGATGAGCACGGAGACGCAGAAGATGAGCGCGAGCCGCCGCTGGCTCATGCAGGGAGCTCTGAACATGGAGGATCCTGGCAGCAGGGCAGAGGCAGGGTCAGGGGGGAGCTGCCTGCTGGGGGCCGTGCTGCCCACCTCAGGGCTGTGGGAGAGCAGGGCTGTGCACAGCCCAGCCTGCCCTGTGGTCTCTGTGCTCTCCCTTGCCCCCCACACCCCTCACAGCCCAGGAAAACTCCAGCCCGTGGCTGGCTGTGACCTCCCTGCCTCCCTCCTTCCCTCCCCACCCTGGGAGGCACCAGGGCCATGGGTCAGCCCGGGTCCCATCCTCACGTGTGCTGTCACAGGCCGAGCAGGGGCTCGGGGCCGGGCCGGACTCGGGGCTGTAGGGTTTGAAGCTGATGCCCAGGACGTTCTCTCGAGGTGGCGGAGCTCGGGCACCAAAGATGCTGCTGGCCGTGGAGACATGGAGCAGGCTGGGAGGGACACTGCTGGGCGAGGCAGTGGTCTGTGGGCAGAGGGGACTGTCACCAGCAGTGACTGCTGCCCACCAGAGTCCCCCAGCTGCCAGCCTGCCAGCTGTGAAGGTGAAAGCAGCACAGAGACGGAGCTGAGCCCCCCTGGCACCACAAGGAGCCTGTTCCTCACAGAACCACGAGCCTCATGGAGAGTCACCACCCCAGTGCCCCTCTCTGTACCAGAACCTGAGCCACATCCCACCCAGGATGGCCAAAATCCTCATTGTCACTGGGTTTTTCCCCTTCAGGCAGCTGAACCTCCCAAAGGCATCACTGTGAGCCCAGCAATCAGCCGGGTATTTGGCATCGTGACAGTCACGCCGTGGCCCAGTTCCACGGGGCCAGTGCCCCAATTTATGCATCTATCCTTAATTAGCCATTTGAAAAATACAGTGCAATTTCCAGCTGTCATTTAGTAATACTTAATAATCGGTGTTTTCCAAGCCCTGAAACGTCCTGCACCCTGGAATGCTGCTCTGCAGTTGTGTCACTCCTGATCCATGAATTCACAAAAGAATGTGTATCTGTTTCCTTTCCTCAAAATACACTCTTCCAAATGCTCCCTTGGTGACAGAAGCCAGAGCCTCTCATTTTCCTCCAGAGAGGACCTGCGAACAAACCCCAAAATAAATGCTGCTTCCTCTACCTTTTGTAGGATGGATGGGGCTTGGAGCAACCTGGTCTGGTGGGAGGTGTCCCTGCCCACAGAAGGGGGCTGGAACTGGGTGAGCCTTCAGTCCCTTTCCATCCAAACCATTCTGGGGAGTGAGAACTCCTGAGGGGGAGCTGCCACCCTGCAGGGACCACTCACCACCCAGAGACGGGCTCTAACACATCCCTGTGGGAGCCTGTCTCTGGTTTTTGGCCCTGCACTGCTGGAGATCACCTTTCTCCATGAGCAGCAGTCATCCCTTTCCCTGCCAGGCTGGGGAGGAGCACTCGGGCTGGAGCTCTGGAGCGGGCAGGGCAGGGACACGGGCACGGTGGGGACACTGCTGGGAGCCCCCTGGCCCTTCCAGCTGGCTTTTCTCCCACTCGTGTTTCCTGCCGGGATCCAGGAGCCCTAATGAGCAGGTCGAGAGGCTGCTGGCGCTGCGTGAACGCGGCTGTGCCCTCCCCGGCGAGGCGCTGCTGTGACTTCCTGGGCATTATCCGTGAGTCACGGGCGGCGTGGCCACGCGTCCCGCGGAGCTCCGAGCCCGGGGACACACCTGTGCTGCCCACCGGGGACACACCTGTGCCCTGCACACCGGGGACACACCTGTGCTGCCCACCGGGGACACACCTGCCCTGCACACCGGGGGCACCCTGCACACAGGACACACCTGTGCTCTGCACACCGGGGATACCCTGCCCACCGGGGACACAGCTGTGCCCTGCACACCGGGGACACACCTGTGCCCCGCACACCGGGGACACACCTGTGCTCTGCACACTGGGGGAAACACCTGTGCCCTGCACACCAGGGACACCTGTGCTGCCCACCAGAGACACCCTGCACACAGGACACACCTGTGCTCTGCACACCGGGGGAAACACCTCTGCCCTGCACACCGGGGGCACCCTGCACACTGGGGACACACCTGTGCTGCCCACCGGGGACACCCTGCACACCGGGGACACACCTGTGCTGCCCACCGGGGACACCCTGCACACCGGGGACACATCTGTGCCCTGCACATCGGGGACACCCTGCACACCGGGGACACACCTGTGCCCTGCACACCGGGGACACCCTGCACACCGGGGACACACCTGTGCCCTGCACACCGGCACACAGCTGCCCTGCTCGGGCCGTGCGTGCCGAGCCCCTCCCCGCAGAGCCGGCAGTCACAGCAGCCCGGGCTCCGGGCCACCCGCCCTGGCCAGCACAAACCTCCGGCACAAACCTCCTCCCACCCCCGCGGGCCCTTGGCACAGCACCGCTGGTGTCCCCCGGCCATGGGGAGCCACCTCCCCACCCTGTGGAGCTCCCCGGGCTCCTGCACGAGGGGAGGAGCAGGGAGAGGCACTTTCTGTTTCACTGCAGCAGCCCCACTCTCACCCCTTCTGCACCAGCCTGGACCTGCTCCAGGTTTCCCCACACCCGGATTTCTCAGCACTGCTGCAGCCCTGCGTCCTCCCAAGGGTGCCAGGGAGCCCAGGAGAACCCCTCAGTGTTCTCCTCGAGGCTGGCAGGGCTGGAGGGTGCCCTGCAGTGCCCTGCCCTAAGCCTGAGCAGTCACAGCACTGGTGGGATTTCAGTTCTCACGTGCCCACATCGTGGGGCACCCCCAGGTACCCTCAGTGCCCACTGTGGGTGACAGCCAGAGCTGTGGCAGGTCCTGAGCAAAGCAATGTGGGGATGCCAGGAACCCTTCCTGGGAAAAGGATTTCTCCTGCCTGCGTTGAAATGAGGTTTCTGTAAATACCCTTTTCCCCTGGCATTTGTGTGCTGTCCCCACGTCCGATGTGTCACATCTCACCCTGCAGCAGCTGTAACCCTTTGCTTATCAGACCAGCAGAACTGCAGTCCTCCAAAGGAGAAGCCTCTCCATCACACACAGAAAACACAGCCCGGCCTGCCCAGGGAGCCAGCAGTGCTGGATGCCACAGCACTGCCACCTGCACTCTGCAAATATATCAAATTAACACCGAAACGTGCCACAGGTCAGACTGCTCTGAGTGCTCCTCAGCAGGCAGCACATGCCCTTTCTTACACTCAGCTGAACTTTCAGCTGCTTATTTCCTTCAAAGTCTTAAGTCTGAATAATTCTGTGGGCTGCCAGAAAGGGTAACAGAGCCCTTACCACGGGTGAGCAGTGCAGGGCCACTGCAGCAGAGAAAACAGCGGTGGTTTGGCAGAGATGTTTCTGCCGGGGAGAGCGCGTGACCCCGCTGAGCGAGCGATGCCTCCTGCCCACAAAACCTTTACTCATCCCTCGCTGGCTTTTGAGTAAAAGTCAGAGGCAGAGCCGAGCCCAGATCACAGGCGCCGCTGCGGTTTGAGCCCTTTCCCCGCCGGCCTCTGCTGCTCCAGCAGCCTCAGGAGTGCTCCACGGCAGAGCTGTGGGGAGGGGGCACGGCCAGCCCCCGACTGGCACAGTGCTTGCCATCACAGCACAGCCAGCAGCGACACTGGGGACGCTCCTGGCCAGCTTGGCTCACCTTGCAGACAGAGGACACCGCCTGTCTGCATCCTGAGCCCTCTGCTAAACCTGTCAGGAGTGCAAACACCGCCTCACACCCTGTCCTGCTCCAAAGCTCGGAGCAGAGCTGGGCAAGGCACCCAAAGCAGGGGCAGCAGCGCTGAGGTGCCCGTCCCATTCCCACCGGGAGCTGCCACGTGCACCGACCTCCCTCCACACCCTGACGTGGAGGGAAGGCCCCCAAACCAAACGCACGGCAGCCAGGAGAAGCACCAGGGGAAAGGTAATCCAGGCTGGGCTGGAGGCTGCAGGGAAAGCAGCCAGCAGGCAGCCGCAGTTTCGGAGTGGGAGGGAAAGCGGAAGCCAGGGAACACCTGGGTGTTGCAACCTGACCCAGGGCCCAGCCGCGTCCCGGAGGAGCAGAAGGACACAGAGCTCCCAAAAACCCGGAGCATCAAGAGGGGAGAGAGGCAGGCTGGCTTCAGTGAGCTGCAAGGAGCTGCCTCAGATCCTCCTCCCCAGCTGAGCCTGCCCTCAGCACGGCTCCAGCTGCCCACAGCCCTGTGCCCAGTCTGGGAACTCCTTCCCCTGGCTGTGAAGCTCCCATTGTCTGAGAGCAGCTCAGCCAGCACACAACGGAGACATTGTCCTTGCCAGGGACAGGGGTGTCCCCAGCCTGTGAGAGCCCCTCGTCCCTCTGGGTGACAGTGTCCTGCTCCAGTGCCACTGCTGAGTGGGGCCTGCCTGGGAGGGGACAGAGCCCAGCACAGAAGGGCGCGAGAGGACACTGCCAAGACCCTGGCACACACAGCAGTGAAATCCCAAAGCCAGCCAGTGTCACTCTGCAAGGGCAGGTGACCAGCTGCCGACTGAGCCAGCCCAACATGGCCAGGGACAGCTCATCCTGTGCCAGGGTGGGCACCCTTCGGGCACAGACCTGAAGTGTTCCAGGGGCTGAGTAAGCGCCGCTCACCTCGCTCCACAGAGGGGCAAACAGAGGCCTGGAAAGACAAAGAGACACTGCTGCCATTGCAGAGCCAAGGGTGGCTCCTGGCACTCCTGATGGCCCATTTAACCCAAGTGACCATGCCAAGGTGGCCCAGTGGGGTTGTCTGGTATTGGGCAATTGTCTCTGCATGTGGCCATGCCAGTTCCTGCCCCACTATCACCAAGGTTCAGCGATGCCACCCTGCTTTGGGGCCACCCTGAGCTGGGACCACTCTGCATCTCCTCAGAGCCAGCCAACACCCAGCACGAGCCCGCTGTGCCCCCGCTCCTGGCACCCCCAGGCCAAGGGGCAGGAAGAGGACGGTGTCAGAGCTGGTTCTGCCTCCCCTGGAGCCCCACGCACGCCCTCACCGCCGCCTTTGTCCCGGATGTCGCTGGCACGGCCGGCGCTGCTCAGCACGGTAATTACTCGCTGCCTCGCCCGGTGCCCAGCCGGGATGGATGTTTTCCTCATGACAGGATGCTCAGCAAAGCCCCACATCCAGGGCTGAGCCGGTCCCAGTCAGCCCAGCCCAAAAAGGCGCAGGGGAAAACTGCCTGGAGAGCAGGCGAGGGGAGCAGCAGGGCTGTGCCCACCAGTGCAGTGCTGCTGGAAAGTGCCGGGGGGCTCAGGAACGTGCCAAGAGGCACCAGATCCCTCTGGCAGCACCAACTGCTCCCCTCAGGTCACAGCTCCAGTGCGGCAAAGTACCCGAGAGCCCTGTGTGCCAGCACCAGGGATGCTGCTGCCTGCCCTCCCTCCAGCTGCCAAGGGGTGCCAAAGGGAGGCAGCGGCTCCTCAGGCAGCTCCGCCGGCTCCTTCTCCCTCCGGCTGCTGCGAAGGAACACCCGGGAGAGCAGCAGGGACAGAGCGGTCCCTCCTCCTCCTCCATGGGGAGCGCTCCGTGGAGCCCGCAGCGCCCCGCGCCCCGAGCCGGGAGCCGCCCGCACTTACCGGGGAGGTTTTGCCGTCCATGGGCCGGGATCGGGGCTGGGCTGGGCTCAGAGCTGCGGCACGGCCATGCCAGCAGCGCGGTGCCGAGCAGGGCCAGCTCGGCGGGGCCGGGGCCAGGCGGTGTTTGGCGAGCGGGCTCGTACGTCAGTGCCAGCAGCAAACCTGTCGGACCTGCCGCCCGGCTCCGCCGCCGGTTTCCCAACCGCTCCGGGCAGCCGGCAAAACACCTGCGCCCTGCCGGCCGGCCCGGGGATGCGGGGCACGGCCAGGGGGCCCTGAGAGCCGGGGAGACCCGGCCCCAGGGAGCAGCAGCTCCTTGCTGCCCTCCTGGCTCACCCGAGCCCCCTTTTCTGCCCTCTGTGCCCCCCACTCACTCTCCTGCCCGGGGGATGCACAGCCATGCCCAGCCAGGAGAGCCTCGCTGCTGTGGCCCAGAAGTCAAGAATTCCCCGTTCCGAAGGAAATGAAATGCCATTTCCCTCTGGTTTCTCCAGAGGCCTTTTAATTCCTTTGCTGATGGATGCAATGCTTCTTCCAGGAGCCAGCAGAGCCTCCTGCCTCCCCTGCAGGCACAGCCTGGGGGATGCTCTGCTTAACCAAGAGCTCAGGTAGAAACAGGTGAAAATTCCTGGTTAAAGGAGAAAGGCCTAACTTCATCCTGTGCTTTCTGAGAGCCAGACCCATGACCCTCAGTGCCACAGGTTTCTCCTGGCATTGTTCTTAGTGTAAGTCCCTCGTTCATCCAGCTCCCCACCCACACCTGCTCATCAGAAGGGCAGAGATGAGTAGGGTCATCCAGGCTTGGAGGAGCCCTGCTGCAAAGCCCCCTCCTTTTGGGGCTGGAAAGTTTGGGCTGGATCCCTCAGACCCCTCTTGCTCCCAGGATCCCAGCTCACAGAGGGGTTCTGAGCCAGCCCTCACTCCACAGCGCACTCCTCTGTAGTTTTCACAGGCAGGAGTGGTTTCTGGGCTTTTTTGTTTGCTTTTTGTGCCTCTGCAGGCTGTCCAAGCACTGAGCTGCACCCCCAGGCAGCTTGAGCCACCGTGCCCTCCTGAGCTGCTGAGTCCACTCCAGAAAGGGATTCTCAGCAAACAGCTCCAGGAGTCATTCATTGCTTGCTACAAAGCCACGTACAGAGAGCAAGTTCCAGGGAACAGAGAGCAGTGTGCCTTGACCCCAGCAGCCTGATGGTAAATGTCAGCATGCGCACAGCTCCCGGGTGAAATCCTCACCTTTCCTGCTGCTCTGAGCCCTCCCTGCACCCTCCTGCCCTCCCAGCCATTAAAGAGGAGCTAAAACACACAGCAGAGCTGGCTCCACCAGCCCAGGAGAGCTGCTCCAAACATCCAGGCTCGAGGGAATTGGGATGAGGATCCCTCTGCCCTGCTCTGTCCTGCGGCAGGGCTGTGCAGAACCAGCCCTCCAGGGCCATCCCTGCCCTGCACCACCTGCCTGACCCTGCTGTCACCCTGGGAAAGCTTCCTGAGGGACAGCAGGGAGGCAAATGCACAGCCCCAGGTGCTCCTGGGCTGGGTTTCTCCGTGGTGTGTCCATTCCAGGGTCAGCCACATCCCCCCAGCTCTCACTGTTCCCTCAGCAGCCTCTCCTGTGGCACCTGGCCGTGCCCTCCCTGCAGAGCTCAGGCTCCAGCCCGAGTCCCCCTGGCCATCCAAGCATTCTGCAGAACTCTCGTTCCTCCTCAGCCTCTTTCGCTTTCCTCTAAATTGCCAACCACTTCTCCCTGTTCTCTGAACCGCCTCGCCCACAGGGCCAGCCCCGCCGTGCCTTTTCCACAGAACTCCCACTTTCCTGCCTTTTGGTCCCGTTGCTTTTCGTTGCCACGGCTTACACAGAACACAGTCTGTGGCTTTGTGTGGGACTGCCTGTGCTTCATCTCGGGACTCCTCAGCTCAGTGGCTGCCAGCTGTGCCTTGGGGGCCAAGGGCAGAGTGGCAGGACATCAGCTGCTCTGCCCTGGATGGGGATAAACCCAGGGCAGGGAGGGATCTGCTGCTGGTGCTCCTGCCAGGCTGTGAGTCTGTGGCAGCTCTTGGCCTTCGTCAGGAGGATAAGTCAGGGAAAACAGGAGAAATCTCCCACTTCAGGCCTTTAGGATGGTTCTTCAAAGGGCAGCCTGCATGTCTGTGCCCACCGTGATGCTCTGACTCTGTCCACAGCACTTTTGGTTTCTCTTGCTCTTTTTGTCTGTGTTCTTTCCACTAATTCTCCAGTGGGAAATTCCTCTTTTTGAGGAAAATCACTCTCCATCACATGAGGGCCCCAGGAAAGCCCTCAAGCAAGCTCTGAGGCAAAGCAGAGCACTCACACAGTCTGTGGGGTGGTGATTCAGGTCCCAGCACCAGCAGACAGGCAGGACAGCACCGTGGGCAGACCCCACAGCCACGGGAACACAGACATACCTGGGGGGCCACCAGAGCCCTGGGGACAGTGGCAGCCCCTGTGTCACACTGCATTTCCAACGTCACCCCTGTGTGAGGGTGTTTGCAGGACACAGGATAGCACAGAGGTTCTCAGAAAGGGAGAAGGGGGAATTGCAGACTGATCCCAAAGGAAAGCCAAAACAGAACCCCCTTGTGGGGCTCCAGGGCTGTTAGAACTTGGCTGGATTCAGCTGATCCAGGACAGGACACGGTGCTGTGCTCGGGAAAGCCCCTGTGCCAGGTCACCCTTGGAGCTAACACTCACCTGTGTCGTGCTTTCAACATCTCATTTCACAACAAAGCAGCAGAGACATCCCTTACTCGTACTTGCCTTTCTCAGCACGGCCCAGCTTTGCTCAGAAAAGCCCCAGAACTGTTCCTCTCAAGCTCTGTCGGAAAGCCCAGCCCAGGCTGAGGCTTTGGCTGGGGGTGAGTGGGTGGACAGCGAAGAGAAGTGGAAGTGGCTGCTCGGTGACTTTCCTGGCGCTGTTTGAACGCCTCCAAGACGTCACTGAGCCAGCCCCTGGGGGAAAAACGAGCGCTCAGCTCCCGCCGGGGCACAGCCCGGCCCCGCTCGCCCTGCTGCCACGGAGGATGCTGAGCGGCCATGGTCCCCTCTGCCACCGCCCTGGCGCTGTGCCTGGCGCTGCTCCTTGCCTGCCCCACGCTCGGTGAGTCTCTCCTGCCGGTTTTCATCTCCCTGTGGCCGGGGCTGAGCCTCACAGCTCGGGGTGGGTTCCTTGGGATGGGGGATAAGATTGGAGCCGCAGCCTGGACACCTCTGCCGGGTGCTCAGCCCTCAGATCAGCGCTTAGGAGCAGGGCATGGCCAGGGCTCCCTGCTCACCGCTTGCCTTTCACTGCTGTTGGGAGCCCAAAGGCTCAGCGAGGGGCACCAGCCCGGCTTGTCCCCGCTGTGTCACCGTGAGGGGCCACGGGCACTGGGGACACAGCGCTGGGCTGGGAGGTTGCCAGCAGGCAGCAGCTGCCAGCGACACCTGCAAGGGAAAGGTGGCAGATATCATCAGAGGGGCTTTTCTGCCAGGTGACAACACGGAGGTCACGCAGGAGGTGTGAAAAAGTCTGGTTTCACCCAGGCAGCAGATGAGCAAAACAGGAAAGCCGAGTCCGAACAGAGCTGGTGTCGAACAGCAGGGGATGGGGGATGCAAATACAGCTCCTTTCCTGGGGCTGAACACACCAAGAAACCCCAGCTGGGCTGTCCCAAAAAAGAAAGAGGAAGGAGACGATGGGGCTGAGCAAATCCTGGAAACTGGGAAGAGAAATCTGGGCAAAGGCTTGCACGTTTCGGGTGGTCAGCGCTGTCACGTCACCCGTCACGGGTGATGCTGCAGGAGGCCCCCCAAGGCTCCTGGGGGCTGAGGTGGGACGGGGCTGTGCAGCCCCCCCCGAGCTCAGCGTGTGCCCCACAGGTGAGGGGCTGGCCATGCCCCGCTCCGTGCGCTTCGCTGTGGAGATGGGGCGGAACCTGCTGAGGTGGGAGCCGGGCCACGGCTGCCCCAGCAACGCCAGCTACAACGTGGAGTACATAGTGTGAGTAACAGCGAGGGGAACCCGCGTGCCGCCCTGCCCCGCGCCGGATTCCAGCCCTCTGCTCACCGCCGGTGCTTCTCCCCTCAGCTACGGCTCAAGAATCCCCTGGACAGCCATCCCAGAGTGCAGCAACACCTCGGAGCACTCCTGTGACCTCACCCGCTACACCCCGGACCCGAAGCAGCGCTACCACGCGCGGGTCAGGGCCGTGGCTGGGAGCAACGCGTCCTCCTGGCAAAGGACCGGCGGCTTCTTCCCACAGCAAGGTGGCTTGGGCTCTTCTCCAGCCTGTGCTGGAGCTGGCAGGGTCAGGGTGCCACGCTGCTTGGAAAGAGCTGTGGGAGGAATGAGAGCTGGGATATTTCCCTCCACGCCTTCCTGGAGGGCAGGTGGGGTGTGCAGGGTGATGGGGCAGCCCGGGGGTGGGTGGGACGGTCACAGCTCAGGCTGGTGCCAGAGGGGCTGGGAGCTGTGAGCAGGAAACAGCCCTGACCTGCTGTTGTGACTGTTCTGCTTCCAGCTGGCCTTCGCCTGGCGGGCCAGAGCCTCTCTGTGATGGGCAACTCCATCCAGGTGCGGCTGCGGCCGCTGCTCCGCTCCGGGAACGCCACCCTGGAGCACAGCGACTTCCAGAAGGAGATGACCCGCTACCACGTGTACCTCAGGAGGACACGGGACAACCACACGGTGAGACGAGTTGCTGTTCCCGTGCTGTCCCCATCTGTCCCACACGGTGCTGCTCAAGGGGAGCACCAGGTTGTTAAAGCAGGGTCGTCTGTAGGAGTGAATGCTGAGCTTTCTCACAGCCACAGCAGCACAGAGAGGCTTCTCCGCGTGTTTTATGGCAGAGTTTTCCAGCCCTTGTGGGGATTTTGGATCTAGCTGCTGTCATCATTATCGCACCACAACCTGGGGGCTTTCCCAGGGGACAGAGGAGGAGGAGGAGGGAGGGAAACAGGAGCTGGGGGCTCCCAGGTTCCAGCCTGTGCTGTTTGTTGCAGATCACCGTGGTGAAGAACAGCACCGAGTTCACCATCGGCGAGCTGTTCTGGCTCACAGAGTACTGCCTGAGCGTGGAGCCCAGCCTGGCCAGCCTGCCCGTCCCCGCCACGCGCTCCGGCGAGCAGTGCGTCACCACCGGCCACAGGGACAGTAAGTGGGGCCCAGGGAAAGGGGGAACCACAGGATGCTGACCCCCCCCAGCCTCCTGGGAGTGTGGGGGTCCACGCCAGAGCAGGCTGTGTGCACCGAGGAATCCCCTCACCTGGTCACCTGTGTGCACTGAGGAATCCCCTCTCCCCCCTCAGCCGGTCACGTCCTCTCTTGCAGGGAGTGCAGAGCTTCTCCCGGACATCCTCAGCTCCTCCTTCATCATCCTGTCCTTGCTGGGCCTCCTGGGGGCTCTGCTGGTGTGTACCTACACCAGGAAACCCGTGAGGACACCGTCTGCCCTGGTAAGGCAGGGACAGTGCCTTTGGGGCCAGAGCGAGGGCGCGGGCTCGGGGAGTGCTGGGAGAGGCAGGCACCAGCCAGGGATGAAGCACAGCTCACTCTCCTCTTCTTCTCTCTCTCAGAAGTCCCTCATGAAGCAGACCTCCCTCTGGGGGGAGAATGAGCCCCCATCCTCGGGCAGCCTGGATGCCGACCCCATCCAGCAGCTCTTCCTGTGCCAGAAGGAGCCCCAGCCAGGCAGAGGCCCTGACAGCAGCACCCACACAGCCCAGCTGCCCCTGGAGCAGGGCTGGAAGCTCCCAGCATGGCCCAAGGACCAGCTGGGCCTGCGGGGACCCACGGGGAGCAGAGACAGCAGCGGCACCAGCACCGACAGCGGCATCTGCCTGCACATCCCTTCCTCCTCCTCCTCCTCCTCCTCCTCCTCCCTGAGCTGCTCCACAGGCCCCCAGCCCCAGGGCTACAGGCAGCAGCTACCCACGGCTGAGGACAGCGGGGTGGGCTTGGAGAGCCCCTGCCCTGCTGCTGGCTGCTCCTCTGGCAGCGGGAACGCCAGCCCAGGGCTGTCCCCTGCCAGCAGCCAGGCAGAGGTGGAGTTCAGGGGGTACCTGCAGCAGTCCAAGGGCACCGTGGAGCCAGAGCGGGCCCTGGGTGAGGCAGAGCCCCTCTCGGGCTGTGCAGGGTCCGTGCAGGGCCTGGGCAGCACCGACACCGTGCTGGACGTGGAGTGCTCCGAGCTGGCCGTGTCCAAAGGGTATTTGAAGCAGTGCTCCCCCGAGCATCCCCTCACACAGGACCTGGCTCCATGGGGAGCCCCTGCCTGTGACTTCCCCAGCCAGGTGGGACCCCAAGCCCCCACCCTGCTGAGCTGGGCAGCCCCAGCTGCTCCACTGACCTGCAAAAGCAGCCCTGATCTGAAAACTCCCTTCGACCTGAACGTCTTCAACAACAACAACAACGCTGCCCTGCTGGGGACGCTGCTGCCCGTCCCCAGCTGGATCACACTGCCCACCCAGCCCCTGGGCCAGCTCAGCGGGGACAGCAAGGACAGCCGCCTGTGACCCGTCCCTGGGGGCCACCAGCCCTGTGCTCTGACCCAACTACCTCGTCTGGATAAGCTACTCCTGACCCTGAATGTCCATGGTGCCAGGCCCAGGAGCACCAGCTCAGTCACTGTGGGGCTGCTGTGCCCCAGTGCCGCTGTGGGCACCCCTCCAGCCACCCCAGCTAACGGGACACAGCGATGGGCTGTGCTGGAGGGGCTCATCCCGACCTCCTCGTGCCTCCCAGGATACCCTCCAGAGCACCTCTGCCCTGCCTGCCCTCCTCAGCAGCCCAGCACGGGGTGCAGGGCCACCGTGGGGGCCTGGGCTGGTCCTGTGCTTCACTTCCCCCTTGCCTGGGCCAGCTGGGCTGCTCCTGCTGACGTCCCCGTGCTGGTGTTAATCCCAGCCTTTCACAACGCAGAGACTGAGGGAGAGGTCAGGCTGACATCAGAACCCTGCTGCTGGCAGCACGGGGCTCCTGCCCTGCCTGACCCCACGTGGATGCACCAAGAGACTTTCCTGACCCTCCAGAGACCCTTCAGCACCCATTCCCTCTGGAAGAGCCCCAGGGCAGGATTTGGGATGCACCTACAGCCCAGCACGAGCCAGGGCAGTCCTACCCACACTATGGTCTGTGTTCTGTTGGACACAGACATTATTTATTGCATTTCATTCCTAAATACAGAAAGGATGTGGTGTTATTTATTCGATCCATTTGTCTGTTCATCCTCTCCCAAGGCCAAGCTGAGCTTTCTGTTTCCACATTTGGACGTTCCCCATCAGCAAGGGGCAATGTGCCTTTGCCTCATGTGGGGAGGAGCATTTCCACATCACAACTGGGAAAAAGGAGAAGCAAGCCACTCTCCAGGAGCTCCTGGTGCCTGTCCCTGGGGAATTTGTGGGGGCAATCACCAGAGAAGCAGCAGGGAAGAGGAGCTGGGCTGCTCCCAGCGATCCCACAGAGATGCCCATCCCATGGGACACCCCCAGGGAAGGACAGGAGGACAAATCCAACCCAGGTGGGGAGGAAAGACAACAGTCAGGGCTCTGCTCAGCAACGTGGTGCTCAGCCATAGGTTGGGCTCGATGACCTCACAGGTCTTTTCCAAACAAATTGATTCTGTGATGCTGTGAACAGCTGTCATCAGAATGGAAACAGGATGAGCCCCAGCCCTGAGCCACCCTCCAGGTCGCAGGGAAGTTTTTCCAAAAGTCACTCCATTTCTAGGAACCTTCACGGTGGGAAGTGAAACTGCTGGTGGAAACTCTCCTCGGGGAATGTGGTTTTCTGGTGAAGGGTTTTGGGGTTTTTTTCAGCTTTTCCAGCACAGGGAGGAAGAGGGGGCTGATTCTTGCTGTGTTTCCTCCTCTTACATCTCACACGTGAGATCCATCCCTGCATCCCACAGGGATGTGGAGGGCACTGGGAGCTTCCTCCTGCCCCTCCACTGGCCCCATCTCTTCTGCCTCTGCATATTTTGGGGGTTAGAGCTTTTTGCTTTCTTCTTTTTTTTTTTTTTCAACTTCCTCTGGAAAACAGAGTCATCAAAAGCATGACTTTTTTGTTGTTGTTGTTTTTCTTTCAAACGCTGCTGACGTCGGGCCCCACGGCCGGATCCTGCGTCATGCAGGGCTCTGCCAGGTCCTGCTCGCCACCGAGGGCTCCCAGCCCCCAGGAGGTGGCATTTCCCCCTCTCCTGGGCAGGCAGAAATCTCCTTTCAGCCGGGAGAAAGCCGCAGACCACAGGGTTTAGCTTCGATGGCCGAGAGCACAGTCCCTCTGACTCCCTGAAAATCCCACTCTGTCCTTGCTGGTTTCCTTACATACATCCACGTGGCTCTCGTGAGTTTTTCTTTTTCTTCTGAGAGAAACTTGCAAAGAAATGAATCCCAAGGCTCCCTGTGCCTCCCCAGGCCCCGATGGCCAAGCAGGGCCCCTCTCTGTGGCCACAGAATCTCCCCACGGCTGTTCTTGCGCTCCAGGCACTTCCACAGCTGCTTGTTCTGCTGAGACCGAAGGCAACTGGCCCAAAAAATCCAGGAGGAACTTCCACAGGGGCTTCCTGAGGCGTTTCCTTGCACTGGGAGCGTGGTGAACCAGCTTCCATGTTGGTGCAGGTATTGGATGGAGGAGGAGGACTGAGACAGATTTCCCGTTTCCCGGCGGTGTTTTCCAAAGTTGCAGAAATCCAGTCACCCAGTTCTGGGGCTCCTCCTCGGCTGCTTCCCTAAGGAAAAACCTTCTGCCAGGTCTCTGGGTGTGCAGGAGGCTGCGAGGTCTCTGAGCTGTTTTCTCCAGGATGTTGAGGAATCCTGGGATAAGGCTGCATCCTCCTCCTCCATGCCAAGCACCAGTGCTGTTGCAGCACCTCCTGCGCACCTGTGCCTGCAGAGGGCCAGCGAGAGAACTGCAGATGGAGGAGATGCCAGGGAATTCACGGAGTTTCCCTCTCTGGAGACGTTCCAAACCCACCTGGGCGTTCCTGTGTCACCTGCTCCAGGTGACCTTGGGCGCGGGGGGGCTGGACCAGGTGGTCTCCAGAGGTCCCTTCCAGCCCCAAGGATTCTGTGATTCTGGGAAGCATTTTTAGCAACAGAAACTGCACCGTTTCCATTTCGGTTGAAATCCAACAATTTCAGGGGCTGTTTCTTACAGAACTGAAAAGGAGGAATTCCCCCAGGCAGTTTTGGTTGTTTTTTCTGTTGGTGCTGGGCTGTGAGTAAGAGGCAGCGAGAGGAAGCTCTGCAAGAGCACCCAGGCTCCAGCCCCATCCCTCTGTGCCTGGCCACACGTCCCATGCCAGGGACAGCAGGACAGGAAACACAACCAAAGCCTGTGCGGGGAGAAACCAAACCCAGAGCTCAGGGAAAGGCCCAGAACCACAGGCAGGGCTTGTGCTGGAAAATCCTGGGCGCTGTCCTGAGGAAAGCTGTGATGGCCAGGGCCTCGAGGCAGCACAGCACTGGGGGGCAGGGGGGCACAAGGGGGTGTCCTTCCTACCTGCTCAGCAGCCCAGCTGTCACCTCACGGCCTCTGGTTGTGGAAGGGCTCGTAGCCACTGCCCGAGGTGCCCAGAGAGCCACTGATGCTGAACGGTGGCACCAGCTCCAGTGCCACTGACCCCAGCCCGCTGCAGGGACAGCAGAGGGGTCACCACGCTGCCCATCCCCCAGCCCCTGCCAGCAGCAGGACTGGGTGGGGAGGGGGTGTGACACCTTGGCACAAAGAGAGCTGTGCGTGGTCCCCCCAGGGTGTCACTCACCGCGAGTGGTACAGGCTGAAGACAAAGTCAGGCCCTGGGGAGGCACGAGGAAGAGGAGGGAGAGGTGTCAGAGCCACGTGTTGCCGTGAGCCCGCCTGTGCTTTGCCGCGAGTGGCAGGCTGGGGACAGGCAGGACAGGCAGCAGGACAGCAGCAGGACATCGCTGTGCATCCCCCTCCTCACCTCAGAGAGCCCCCTGCACCTGGGGTTCCATCTCCCGTGTTCCCAACACCCCAGGCTCCGTGCTCTGAGCGCCCCTGTCCCCTGCCCTGTCCCCCTGTCCCCTGCCCTGTCCCCCTGTCCCCTGCCCTGCCGTACTCACGGCGCTGGCCGTGGCCCCGCCGGTACCAGCGGATGAAGGTGTAGCCAAAACTGGCCAGGATCAGCAGGGCCAGCCCGATGCCCAAGACAACCCCGATCACCTTGACGGGCTCTTGTCCTGGAAAGCAGAGGGAGGAGGGGCTCTGCAGACAGACCTCTGGGGGGCTGGGGGTCCCGATGGTCCCCTGCAGGGCTCAGGACAGCCGGGAGCGGGGCTACAACTCTCCAGCATGAGCTGTCCCCACGGCAGGGAGGGACTGCAGGGCTGCCAGGACCGTGGCACGGAGATTTCTACTGTCCCCAAAGCCCCGTGACGGAGAGCACAGCTGTCCCCAGGTGAGCTGGCAGGTGGCACGGTCACTGGGAAGGGACGTGGCCACCCTGGCCGTGCTGTAGCCCGCTGCTGGTGCCGCTCACGCCCTCGTGGGGCGATGCTCCTTTCCTGGCGGCGCTGGAGCCATTCCTGGGCTGGCAGTTCCCTCTAGAGGATGCTTTTGTCAGGACCAGCAGCCAGGCTGGGACGGGACACGGCCGGGGCCGTGCGGGACCTGAGCGGGCTCTGCACCGCCCATCCCCGCCCTCCCTGAGCGGGGTCTGGCAGGACCCAGCACCGATCAATGCTCCCGGAGCTGTCAGGACGCCAAAGTGCCCGGCACAGCCGCTGAACATCGATTGCTGCGCGGACAGCTCTGCCGGGGCTGTGCCAGGAGGGCACGGGGGGGTCTGGGCACTGCCCAGAGGAGGGCACAGGGACGGGGCTCAGTGCGGCACCGGGAGCGAGGAGACAGCGGAAAGGGATGACCTAAGAGCAGCTAAATTTAGGCAGATGCCAGCGGAGTGAGAACATTTCCCCTGTGGTCACGGTGTTTACACAGCGAGCACGGTCCTGCAGCCCGCAGCGCCCTCTCCACCCGGCGGGACGGACAAACAGCCGCGGGCAGAGCTCCCAGCCCGGCCGCAGCTCGCAGGGCTCGCGGGGAGGAGCAGGACCTGCCCTGCCCTTGCTTTCCCTCCCAGCCGGCCCTCCTGGCAGGGCTCAGGGTACGTGGGTGGCCGATTTTCTGCTGGGGCAGGGGCGAGCGGCAGCCCCGGGACCCCCGGTGAGGGCGAGGTCCGGGAGCCGCAGCAGCCGTGACTCACGGCAGGAGCTGCGTGGTGCAACAGCCTCCCTGAATCAGCCGGCTGCCGAAACTGCACCGTCCCCACGCCCACCGCCCGTGGGAGGGTGACGGCGGCGTGCCCAGGCCCTGCCCCGTGCCCTGCGTGGGAGGGTCCCTGCCCTGACACCCTCGGGAGCATCCCCGGGGATGGCTCTGAGCAGCACGGCTCGGGCACAGCCACCCAGCAGTGAGCCCCAGCCCACGGGGCAGCAGGGAGGAGGGTCACCAAAGCACTGCCCGTGCCATGAGCACCCCACCTCTGCCCCCTGAGGGGGCAAAGACCACCCACTCACCTGCCCAGGGGTCCATGTCCTGCTGCTGTGCCACGGGAGCTGCTCTCGGTTATCCCGGCCTGGAGCTGCTGCTGAGCCCTCTGTGCTGGAGCCTGGCACGTCCTGGCTGTGCCCTGTCTCCTGGTGACACGGCTGCCTCCCTGCAGCGAGGCTGGGCACCAGTCCTGGCCCACTGGTCCAACTGGTTCTCAGGGAGAAAGCAGAGGAGCTGCAGCAGACACGACCGAGGGCACATCGCCCTGCCTGCGTGGGCAGCTCTGCCCTCCCGCTGCTGGAAGAGGCTGAACTGGGAGTACTGGGAGCCCCAGGGGCAGGGACACCCTGGACACAGGTATGCCCAGCGCTGGCAAGGTGCCCGAGTGGCCGTGTCCTCTGATTGTCACCTCCAGGCAAGGCCAGCAGCCAGGAAGGGGGCAGAGACCCTCGCAGAACCCAGGCTGGGGGCCTCAGGCAGCACCCCAGGGGACAGGGAAGGACAGGGGTGACCCTCAGCAGCTGCCCCCAGTCAGACACCCCAAAATGAGGCACTTACAGCTCTACTTGATCATCTCCGAGTCCCAAACCAGAGCGTCTCTTGGGAATCAGCTCCTGTTTGTAACAAGAAAGAAAACCACCTGCTGTGGCTGCAGGGAAAAGTGTCCAACAGCTGTAACCCTGAACAGCTGGAAACTGAGAAAATCTCCTCCCTGCTCGGTGCTGCTGTGCCAGGCACAGCCTCTGAACCTGCCGTGCCCCACATCAGCGGCCCTGGGCAGGAGCCAAGCCCTGAGCAGCCCTGCCCAGGTGAGCACTCCACGATGCCTGGGGGTGCAGAGCACAGAGGGGACAGCAGGAGCTGCAGCCCCCAGGGGCTGGCACCGTCCTTGCCTTGCAGAACACAGGGATGGGGATGTGTCCGTGCGGCTCCGGGATTGTCACCCAGAGCCCTGGGCCAGGCCAGCCTGTCCTCTGCCCGACCCCAGTGGAGCCGGGTGCCCGGGAACCTGTGCCATGGCTGGAAACCTGTGCCGTGCCAGGAAACCTGTGCCGTGCCAGGAAACCTGTGCCGTGCCCGGCTCCGGGAGCAGGGAAGGGTGGCTGGCTGCAAACGCGGCCGCACTCCAGGAAGCAAAGCCCCGGAGTCGCGGGGCTGTGACACAACACTGCAAAGCCGACTGTGTCCCCAGAGACCGCGGGTCCCCAGGCAGGACTGGCTGCTCCCGCCGTGCCACCGCTCCCGGGCTGCTCTCCCTGGCTGGCACCGGGATGCTCTGGGGAGGCTGCCAGGACCTGCCAGGTGCACCTGGGAGCCAAGGCCTGCCCAGCTCCTGCTGCTGCAGCCCGTGAAACATTTCTCAAGCTGAAATCTGCCACAGCAGCACGGGCAGCCTCTGGCTGCACCCTACATCCCACATCCTCTGGGCAACAGGGGGACCACGAGGGCTGAGGTGCCCACACCTCCCAAGGGGCTGGATGCTCAGTGTGAGTGTGGGGAGGGTGCCCCTTACCTGCAGAGCCACAGGTGCATCCCTGGCCAGGCTGGGGGAGCGGGCAGGGTCCCTGCTGGCAGGGGTGAGCTGGCACAGCCATGGCACAGCTCCCTGAGGAGCTGCAGGTCGTGGGTGCTCTGCAGTCTCCCGCTGGCAGCAGCAGGGCCGTTGGGAAAGCTGCATTTCCACGGGAGAAGGGGGTAATTAGCTGCATTTCCACAGGAGAAGGGGGTAATTAGCTGCTCGGCACATCCAGCACACCCAGCAGCTCCGGCATCAGCGTGCAGAGGGCAGCCAGCAGCCTCCCCGACCCCAGCCCGCTCCCTGGGCCACCCTCACCCCTGCGGCGCTGCCTCCTGCACTCCTCAACCTCCGTCCCTTCCTGCCAGGCTAAGGCAAGCTGCTCCATCCCAGAGGGATTGGTTGTTCCTGGACAATCACAGATCCACGACCCTCAGCCGTCCACGGGATCACCCCATTGTCCCCCCTGCAGCCTGGGGTACCCATGGGCACCCACTGCCTTCCCTTTAACCTGCCCCAGCCCTGCCAGCCGTGACCCGGCCCTGGTGGGGACACACAGCCCGAGTGACCCAGGGCACAAACTCTCCTCCTTTCCTCCTCCACCTACTCGAAGCTCGCTTTGACAACAACCCAGCGCAACGCGGAAGAGCCGGACAAAGAGCGGGGTGGCCGTGGATCCTCTTATCATCAGGAGGAGCAGGAAAAATCAGTCCGTTCACTTCTGATAAGCTATTTGGTGACAGCAGCGCCGCAGGTGAGTCACCTGCAGTGGAGATGCTCGGGAGATTACCGCAGGTGATGGTGCTGCTGATAGACCGGTGTTGTATTACAATACAAACCAGAATTCCTGTTTCACAACTCCCCTTGTGGGTTTTAAGGAGGGCCGGGGCGGTCCTGCCCCAGTGTGAGCGCGGCGTGGGCACCGAGCGCAGGGCACGGGCTGCGGGAGCATCGCGGGCCGGCTCCAGGGCAGCCGCAGCCTCCCCGAGCACCGGGGACATCTGCCGGGTTTCCGCGGGCCGCAGGACCCCGCCGGAGCTGGATGGACATGGTGAGTCCCTGCCCCCAGCCCCGGGACGGGCACCAGCCCCCCGCACAGCCCCGTGCCCGGCCGCGCTGCCAGCCCCAGGAGGTGCTGAGGGCATGGGGCAGCCCGGGCACAAGGAGCTGCTGCTCCCCAGCAGCCGAGGAAGGGTTTCTCCCATTCCTCACAGCCCTCCGTGGATAGACACGGAGCTTGGGTGCCAAGGAAGGGTTTCCCCCATTCCTCACAGCCCTGCATGGCTGGGCACTGATCTTGGGTGCCAAGGAAGGGTTTCCCCTGCTCCCCATAGCCCTCTGTGGCTGCACACAGAGCTTGAGTGCCAAGGAAGGGTTTCCCCTGCTCCTCACAGCCCTCTGTGGCTGGACATGGAGCTTGAGTGCCAAGGAAGGGGTTGTCCTGCTCCCCACAGCCCTCTGTGGCTGCACACAGAGCTTGAGTGCCAAGGAAGGGTTTCCCCTGCTCCTCACACCAGTCTGTGGCTGGGCACGGAGCTTGGGTGCCAAGGAAGGGTTTCCCCTGCTCCTCACAGCCCTCTGTGGCTGGGCACGGAGCTTGGGTGCCCCCCAAGCTCTCACTCCCACGTTGCTAGGGCTGCCTTTCCCTCTCCTGGCCCGGGCAGCAGACAAGCAAGGCAGTGCCCCCCATGCCAAGGGGAACAGGACCTCCTGAAGGGTCTCATTCCACTCCTGGGGCAGAGCCAGGCCCTCCCAGCCCCCCGCCCAGCACAGGGGACACACCAGCAGCACCCTGTGCAGGAGCAGCCACGGCCACCAAACGCCAGGCTGGCACGCAGTCCCTCCCTGGGAGGGAGACGCTTCCCCAGGAGGGCACACACCAAGCTCTGCGGGCACTGCAAACCCTCCAGCAGCAGCACAGAGGGACACCAACCCCTGCAGGGTGGGGAACGCGCTCCCTGCAGTGTCTGCACACACCGCGGGGCAAATCCCCCAGCCAAGGAGTCACCCTCGGAATCTGATCACCCTGCAAAGCTCCCCTTGGCCAGGGAACGTCCCCCCTGCTCCCGAGGGAGGGAAGGAGCCCGGCTCAGCACACCCTGCAGCCCCTGCTGAAAGGGGGGAAGAGGTTCAGCAGAACTCCACGGCTCCTGGGCTGGCACTGGCACAGCTGGAGCCTGGCATGGCCACGGTGGCATGAAGTGCCCCAGAAGAAAGCAGCAAGGGAACTCAATCAGTCACAGTAGCATGGAGCTCTGCAGGAAATCTTGTGCCTCCGAGAGCAGGCACAGCCCTCCCTGGCTTTGGATTTAACCAGTGCTGCTCCTGCTCGTGGTGGGCTCGAGAGGAGTCATGGAGAGGCAGCCCCAAGCTCTGAATCCCTTTGAAACAGAAGAGGTTCATGGACTGAAGAAAATGCAAAAAAAACCCCAAAACCCAATAATCACCCATCTCATCTGCATCCACACCAGACCTGTGCCTTGCAAAAGGATCCCAGCCAAGGATGATGTGATGGGGTCAGGAATGGGCAGTGTGGGGACAGAGGGACAGCCGTGCTGCTGCAGTGGGGCCTGCAGGATCATCCCCACCCGGGCCATTCCTGCTGGGAACCGTTAGGATCCCATTATCCAGGAGGCGCCCGGCCCAGGCCCAGGTGACACAGGAGGTCAGCATGAGGAAGGACCGGCCCCACGTGCCCTGGGCTGGCAGAAGTTGGGGCAGCATTCCAAAACTCCCAGGCCTCTGGGAGTTCTTCCCTTCTCCGCGGAGAAGCGGCTCAGGAAGGGCAGCGAGGTGGGAGATGCAGGACCCAGGTTCCCACCCTGCCCTCCTGCTCCCAGCAGCTCCCTGGCACCAGGAAACAGCCTCTGCACCCCAGAGCCCGTCCAGGGCTGGGGAATTTGGCACAAGCTGCCCACACTTGCCACGGGTGCCAGCTGAGCCTGGCTTTGGGAAAAAAGGCTGCTGGCATTTCCTCAAGGAGCCAGACTCCAACGTGCTGGGACACAGCACATGGCACCAGGCAGGAGCCAGCCCTCCCCTGCACAGGTCACTGCTTGTTCCCAGAGCCAGCAGCCCCAGCCACTCTGCAGGGACACGACAGGGAGGCAACAGCTCCTGCCTCACAAAGCCAGCCTGCCTTTGTGTGCCAACCCAGGGATAATGGCTTGGCTCTTGCTGTAAAATCCTGCTGGAAGGGTGTGTGTGCGTGGCTAAACATGCCCTGGCACAGTGACCCGGGCAGGGAGGGCTCCCCTCTCCTCTGACCTGGGCACACAGTCCCCTTCAGCTGTGCCACATCCCCGGTGCCCCCTCACTGCTCTGCCAAGCCTCTGAGCCTGGCATGGCACAGGGACCTCTGCTCTCCTTTGGTGTGACAAACATCGGTGTGACAAACACCCTCATGTCCAGGCTGTGCTGCTCTTGGAGCTCAGCACTTGCAGCAAAGGCTCCCAAAGCCCGAACCCTCCTGGATCTGTGGGTAGATCCCAGCGGGTTTAACCCCCTCTTACCTCTGCTCATGCAGAAATCTTGTCTTACCTGCGGTGGCAGAGCCCAGAAGCAACAGCAAAAGAGAAGAGCTCGCTGGGGCTGGCAGGGAGCAGGCTCAGTGCAGCAGGAACACCTTTCCAAAGG